CCGTTGGATCGGCTACCCGGCCAATTATAATCGACAAGAAGAAGAAGAAGATGGCCGCTCTCATGCTTCTCTCTGGTTTAGCGACTATTCGTCAATTTTGACCACGAGATCCTGTCGAACGGTTCATGAAAATGTATCTTTATGCAAAGATCTGTGCTCTGGGCTCTGAAGTCTTGTGTTTCAAACATTTGTAGCGACAAGTGGATCGTATCCTGAGAGTGGATATACCGGCCTCTTTTTCTTGTGTACTAAATCATACTAAACCTCATGGAGTAATGTCCATTTTTGAATCCACGTGAATTAGACAAAGACAAACAATCAACTTTGGATTATATTTGTCCTTGTCTAACTTACGTAATAGTATGGAAGAAAACCACAAAAAATGGACATTACCCTATGAGGTTTGGTACACGGAAAAGGCCGGCATTTCACTCTCAGGTTTCTCTCTGATGTCACTACAGAAGGCACCACAGCCCTCAGGTTTGTTTCTACACTTTCTGCTCGGAGTCAGAAACAATAGAAGAAAATTGGAGGCTTACTGTATGTTATCGTTTTCATAAATATTCCACGCGTTGTCAATCGGTATATTATATATGCATGCAAAATTTAACGACTGATATTCGTCTCAAGAATACAAAACGGTGAGTTTACAAAATCTTTGGATACCTTATTACCGTTTTATTACGATGCACATAGAACAAATTTCGAAGGAATAACTTTCATCGTCATTCAATTATTATCGTCATGTGATACAAAATCTCTAGACCTAAGCTCATTGTTGTTAATTACATACATTACAAACAAATCACCTACACTGTATTGAAAAATTAGAAAGGTTGGAAAAATGATGAAATCGGATGTTTTTGCGATCAGAAAATTATACGTTCTGCTATTTAGTTCCAACGTATCTTGCTCTGTCCTCTAAGTGTGTGGTGTGTATATATATATATATATATATATATATATATACACTGTTTACTTAGCATTCAAAGAATTTATTTTTTTAATTCTGAAAACACATTTTATTTCTTATATTTGTCGATACATTTATAATCTTTTAGATAGCTTCTCCATTTACAAAAAGTCTTAATAAATATATTATTTTTTACATGAAATATGAATTATGTATGCTGTTGCAGGTAGCAATGGGTACGTTGGAACTAAAACAAAGTTTGACCGGGCATAGAGGCAGAGTATGGAGTGTTTGTTGGCATCCCAAGGGTGCAAATTTAGCGTCTTGTGGTGAAGACAAGACGATTATAATATATGAATTGGCGGGACTCAACTGGGTTAGGAAAATGATCCTTACCGAAGGACATTCCAGAACTATTAGAGAATTGGCTTGGTCCCCCTGTGGTAATTATATCGCATCAGCAAGTTTTGATGCCACTACCGCAGTATGGGACAAGAAGTCGGGACAGTTTGAATGCAATGCGACGTTAGAAGGACATGAGAACGAAGTTAAAAGCGTTGGTTGGTCAATCTCTGGTCAATTACTCGCCACATGTAGCCGAGATAAATCTGTATGGGTATGGGAGGTGAATGATGATGAATATGAATGTGCTGCTGTTATTAACGCTCATACTCAAGATGTAAAGAAGGTATGTTGTAAATTTATACATTGGAAATCATCAGTTAAATATATCATATATATTTATTAAAAGAAACCTTGGTCTATGAATTTATAATGGAGAATTTATATGAAATTAAAGTTTTCTTTTATTTCAGGTGAGATGGCATCCACATGAAGAAATTCTAGCTTCTGCCAGTTACGACAACACAGTGAAGATATTTAAAGAAGATGCAGCTGATAGTGACTGGTCGTGCACCGCAACCTTGTCGTCTCACACATCTACGGTATGGAGTCTTTCATGGGATAAGATTGGCAATCGAATAGCAACCTGCAGTGATGATAAAACAGTAAAGATATGGCGGGAGTATAAACCAGGAAACGATATGGGCATTGCTACACCGAATAACGAGTCTACCTGGAAGTGTATCTGTACACTGTCGGGATATCATACGAGAACTATTTATGATATCGATTGGTGCAAGATCACGGGTTTACTAGTGACCGCGTGCGGTGACGATATCATTAGGATATTTAAAGAAGATACCAACTGCGATCCACATCAACCGAATTTTACAATGATCTGCTCGATAAACAGTGCACATGCTCAAGATGTTAACTGTGTTCATTGGAACCCTACAATTCCTGGACAGCTCGCATCTGCAAGTGACGATAGTACAGTGAAGATATGGCTTTATAATGAATAAAATATATATCTATATAAATATGTAATTTTGTTTACTTTATTTGTGCCTTTGTTACTTAAAAATGGAACAATTAAAAATTAGTGAATAATAAATAATAAATGTTATATATTATAAAATGATTTATTATTTCCTCAAAATAGCGTAAAAGGAGAACATTATTTCATCAAATTTTTATTTTTCTCAATTTTAACATTTAATGTAACAAAATTTGTAATGTTATATAGAATAACGAATGGTTTTTTTTTTTTTTTTTTTTTTGTTAGAAAGGTTGATTGGGAAAGTTTTTTAATTTTCAATATCTTATAGTTGAAAAAGACAATGTATCTTGATGGTTTTTTAACAAAACTTGACTTTAATTTTGCGCTGAACAACTAATAATTTATATACATATCTGGATGCTGTGTAATATATTATGTAATATCTTTAATAGCTTTTATACTGAAATACGTTATCAATAGTTACATCTTTATTTTTTAGGGCTACATATAAATGCTGAAGCGCTGGTACAACGTGGGATTATCTTGTGAGAATTTTTACTTTCGGTATAAATCTATTAAACAATATAAAACAGTACGCACGATGAGTGCTACAAGAAATAAAGTCGGCATACCTTTAAAAGATGTTGTGAGTGCAATAAATAAATTTGCGAACACGTCGCTCGCAGCTTCTTGGGACAATGTTGGATTACTGGTTGAACCTACAGAACCGAAAATTGTGTCGCATATTTTGTTAACGAATGATTTAACTGAGGATGTTATGGATGAAGCCATTAAATTAAAAACCGACTTAATTATCACGTATCATCCGTTAATATTTGTTCCATTGAAATCTATTACAACTAAATCTTGGAAGGTACGGTGAAGTTATGTGATATGATCTTTGTCACAATGGTATCGCAATTTAATTTTCTTTACATATTTCTTTATACATATAACAGGAACGAATAATAGCAAGATGTCTAGAAAATAAGATTGCTGTCTTCTCTCCGCATAGCAGTTTTGATTCTGTGAAAGGTGGTGTAAACGATTGGCTAGCAGAAGCTTTTGGTAAGAAAAAGATTTGTTATTGTATTTTTATTGTTAAAGTATTAATAACTTACTATATAAAAATTACATTTTAAGAGATCGAAAGCAGTAAGCCGATTCAACCAAATGAAGATAATGCGACTTATGGATTTGGAAGATTATGTACCTTGAAGAACCGAATATCTGTCGATGAAGCGGTAAATTTAGTAAAGCAACGAACTGATCTGAAGCATGTAAGATTAGCACGTGCACGGGGTACAGGTGAGATCTTAACAAAAATAATTTATTGCTGGAAAAAGAACTTAAACTTGATGGGTAACATATTGTATTATATTTTGCATTATTATTATTATTATATTTTAGATGGTTACATTAATACCATTGCATTATGTGCTGGAGCAGGCGCATCGATATTAAAAGGAATATCTGCAGACTTATATCTCACAGGAGAATTGTTACATCATGATGTATTGGATGCTGTACATCAGGGTAGTCATGTCATACTAACAAATCATTCTGATTCAGAACGTGGGTTTTTAAAGATATATGCTTCGATATTAAAATCTAATTTGCAAAACCCTGTCGATGTGTGCGTCTCTGAAAGTGATAAGGATCCACTACAAACCGTGTAAGCCGTTATAAAAGAACATTTACTATATCTCTTATCACAGCAATCGTATTTAATTTAATAACAATTGTGTATTGTATAATATGGAAGAGGGGAAACTTTAATGTTTTGGAAATAAAGATTTTTCATTTTATTCAGCATCGTACACTTTACTCTAATAAAATTTTAATTTTAAGATTTACTGCGATTTTTTTAGAATCGATCATTAAAAGATTATGTACAAACAAGATTCAGCTAAGGAAATATCAACTGTCTCATTCTCTCTCTTCTTCCTCTCGAATTCTTTAACAAGTCCTTAGTTCCTAGAAAGCACACTGCGAGATTTTCTGTATATACATATTAGTAATTATAGCAGATCGTTTATCGTGATCCAAATAGGTTTTAAATTTTGATTTTCTTACATCTAACTTCGTGGTTTTTTTCTAAGTTCAAAAAATATCATTAATAAGGCTATAAAATTATTTTTTGATTATAAAATCGTTTACTCAAAGAACAAAACGATACCTTAAATGACACACGATCGATACACATGATTTAATCATAATTGATTTATTTGCACGACAATAACAAATAGATATTACCTAATAGACTCATCAAATTAAAAAGTGGTCGACAGTTTCAAATTGTCCACACAAATTCGAGTAATTTCGGCCACGCACGATATACATGTCCTAATTTGTAGAGTAACTATGATATACAAATATATGAATCCTGAGAGCAAGATGTCATAAATCTAAAACCGTTTGTTTAACACTTAACTAATTAAGTAATTGAGATTTTCAAGACGCACAATTAACATTAATCCTAGGTGTACACACTCTTTACTTACATAAATGACATACTCAATCTTATCTACATTTGTTATCTTAAGTCCAACAAAAATGGACATTTTAATTAATTTTTTTGCAATCGAAGAATCGATCAAGGTCCATATTGCTCATTAATTTCAATACACTTCCAGATTCGTTGATTTCTCTGAAAAGGATGAATGTGGTACGTATGTTTTACACATTTGTAAACAATATGTATGAGTACAAAACAAGTCTGTTTGCCTATATATATATATATAAATCCATATCTATCATAAAACTTCTTTTGTTCATTGCTTTTCGAAAAATCGATGATTTGGGTGGTAATTAATGAGCGAGATAATGTATGTGTTGATGAATCGGTTTCAAAACAACATTGGATATCTGATGTCATTACAACATCTCGTAATCTTGCGTGCGTATTTTGTTTATTTTCAGAAATCCAATATTATCCGACTGTTAGTCCTGTTTCTCCAAAGCTACAATTTTCAAGGATTTTTATATAAATAATGTATAATGAAGGTATGGAAGAATGTGTGCAATAGGTATTTATGTAAACCAAGTCCCCTTCTTGGCTATGTATGCTGAAGTGAATAAATTTCTATTCTATTATAAATAATGTATAAATACTATATAATGCAAACGTTAAAAGTATTTCTAATAAACAGGTGGACTCATTTCTGTACAAAACACGTTCATCCTTGACAGAGAACTCAACAAATCAACAGAATACATATTGAAATTAATGAACGGTAGTGTAATTTATTAAAAGTCGATAGAATTAAGCAGCTCCGAGAGATATACGTATTGGAAAAAAGGAAAAAGAAACGCGAAAAAAATCTCAATGTGGAGGATAATGGTGTGTATGTCTAGGATTAACTTAAGTTGTTTTGGTTTTCTTTTTTAATGAATATTAGAATCAATCTTCATTCAATGATAAGCTTTTTGCGTAACATAATATATTAAAAGTAATATATTAAATATATAAAGCAAAGTCATATTACATCAATGTTCGTATAGTAAATAAAAACTTAAGGGTACAAAAAAAACTTAAAAACCTTGAATGTGATAATCTGAGCAATAGACATTAAGTACTGTAACTATAGTCTTTTTTTCATAATTATCATCATGTCTATTCGAGGCAGTATAAATCCTCGCTGTCAAATAAATTGGTTTCAATATCAAATAAAACGCCAAAGATTGATAAATCGAATCAACGAATAAAAATTTAATGTAATTACGACATATCATTTGATGGTTACTGAAGCGCATTCTTTCGTTTGAGTGCATTAAACTTATCGGAGTTCTTTCTTGTATTGAAGACGATTGTTCGTTAAAGAACAATTTTCTCTCAAAAACTTATACATTTGTGCGGATGATTGCAACCATATCTCAACGCGTAACACGCTCATTCATACATCATCGAATATTTTCATTTTAGCGGCTTTACAGTATATTTTATATATATATTTTTTTTATACGTGGTTTTTTCTTCCCTCACAATATAATAATAGATTTTAACACACATCTCTCTATGTTAAAATCTAAATTATTCCTGTAACAGTAACATGTATGTAGTTTTTTTTTGGCAAGCGCAACGTATTGTCTTGTAAAACATGGTAAAGTAAAATAAATGCAATGTTACGTGTTGCTCGGATCTGAGCTTTTCAAATAAAGTAATCAGCAAATATTTTCGCAAATGTATTCGATTTTCGTTACCCTGTCTTCGCCTCCTAAATCGCACATTTACAATACTTTAGCATCAACACAAATTTCATAAAAAAGAAAAGATTTTTTTACTTCTTGCCACGATACCATTTTGTCGCTTTTGCTTTTCGGTTCGTCGCTTTTAGAGTTTTGTTCTTATATTTCTTTTAGTACATTACAATAGCTTTTTCGTTCCAAGGTACGATTCTCTCTCGCCCATTTATATTCGCCTACAGACTTTCGCAAGGTACGCGCTTATTGACGTAGACAATACGTAGGCGACGTTGTGCAGTTCATTAAAGAATATCTAGTAATTCTCGCGCAAGGTATAAAGATTAATTTGATTGACGACTATATTATTTATATAAAGGCTATCTTTTAATAAAAAAGAATTCAATAACAATAAATCATAGGAAATAACGATGGTAACAGCATTTAATAACAATGTACTCAAACAACAATTGTACAATATAAATCATGTTATCGCGTTGAAAGACTCTCGAACTTGTGTAGTTTATTTTATCGATCGTTTATTCATACGAGTTGCGTAGAGTGTTGCGTGAGAGGAAAAATCAAACGGTTGAAGTGCGAAAGAAAAATTGAAAGAAACGTATCTAACTAACGATGGTCCAGCTCTACGTCTAATATGGATGATTCAAGAAGGTCAAAAGCGTCGTCGAGATCATTACAAAAGGTAAATTGGCTAATCTGAGCTGTCCGCCGTGCTGCATCGCAGCTGGATGTTCCCCTGTAAAGCGAAAGATTAATATTCTCTCTTTTTTTCTCTCTTTTTCTTTTTCTTAACGGAGAGCTGAATGCGGCTTCGCGAGGTAATATTTATTTTCTCGCAATATACCGGATAATCGGGGCTGAATAGCGCATAAAGATCGCTATTAGGTACATTAAGCCGCCATACAGACGTTGTAACAACGTAACAGCAGTAACAGCAGGTGCGTTATAAGATTAAGAAGTATACATACCATTAAGTACATGTACTAAGACTGTCTTTGTATTAGCATTACTGGGATGGCAGGTGTATTGTCCGCTGTCTGCCGGTTGAGCACGTTGAATTAAAAGGTATGATGTCGTAACCTCGCCCTTCTCCGTGATAACCGATACTCCGCCTCTCGGACTGTCATAATTGATCACCTGTCACGTACAGGTTCCGGAAAAAATGTTATTCTAATTAAATCTTTTCCTGTAACGCTTATACAATAGTAGTTTGACAAACCGACGAAGAGATCAATTAATGGACGATTAATTAATCTTCCGTCGGAAAAAAGCTCAATCGTGAACATCGATGATCGGCGCGCGATGCTTCGCGGAAGAGAGGGACATAAAATAAGATAGCAGGATCTTTTTCGTCTCGGACATGAATGCGAGAGACGTGAGTAAATTTTTAATTCTGTCATTCCCCGAAATGAAAGACTTTATAGAATTAATTTTGAGTTTTAGACTAGCTTTCAGTACAGCAACTCATATAAACGCATCGGGATATTCGGGATACGTTTGCAGTTTAGAGTTTGTATTTTATCGAGAAACTTTTCCTTCTCTCTTTTAATTTACTTAAATAAACGTACGCTTTTTTTGCACATGGCCAGTGGCGTGTGTTATCGTGTTTATGTTTTTTGTATTTCGTACACGGATTAAAAACGGTAGCTTTCCTTCGTTCCGGCTCGATCGTGTTTCCCAGTTTGTAAACTGGTGGGAGTCTAGTTTTGAAAACTTTGGTGAAACCGATATAGCAGTTATCAGTTTATGTCTGTATTTCGCTGAAACTCATAATGTTTCAAAGCTGAACTTACAGCACTTTCAAAATAAACGAATCGTATGTCACTCTGTTGCAGAATGGATTTCAAAAACTTTCGGAGAGATGCACACGGCGGAGAAGTACTATAAATCCAAAAATACAACTACACAACTCAAAATATGTCGTTGGTTTTATATTAAATGTTGTTTTTGCATTATTTTCTTTCTTACAGTTTAAGTACCGTTTCCGCGTTTCAGTGTACGACAATTTCTTTATCTGCTCCTATTGTCGATTTAATTTCTGTCCACATCATTTATTTTATTCCGATGCCTCTTAAATTTAAAAGCAATAGCTTTTATTATTCTTCTCACGATACGCATAGAAATGGATTTTGATTGAATCATGCCGCATGCTTATTACATTTTGAAACGAATTCTGTTGTTATTATCCGCAACGCGGCATGTATTCACGTAATGCATATTTATCGAGAATCTACAATAGATTGCCACTTGCGACTTCAATATTAAACAAATAGTGATTCATGTATCCATTCGGATTCGCGGAAAATGTAATATGCGAATATCTCTAAAACGGTTTGAGGTATCAAAAATTCTGTCTAGTGTCGCATATTTCATGTAAAAATTTCAAAGATCGTGTGTGCATTCCCTATATATACCAGAGACCGAAAACGAAAAATATTTCATTTGCTTTTTAGTCAGAACGAAAGCAAAATATTTTATTTGCGTTTTCCTTTGCCACACAAATCAGATATAGCTTATACCCGTGTGAGCTTTTTCTGAATCAAAATGAAAAGTCAATTATATGAAACAAGCCCTCTATATTTAATTAAATTTCGATATGAGCGGAATTAATAACTGTTTAAATAATTATTTCAGGTATCAACATATTTTATATATACATTCCTGTGTTCCGTTAGTATTCATATGCATAAGTATGTATGCATATGCATAGTTTAAATGCTTATTTGTATGTAAATACGTTTTATTTTCGTTTCACAACTGAGGAAGCATTTTTTAAATAGCTTTTCGATATTGAGGATTTTTCGCGTAGCTCTTAAAACTACAATACATATTTAGAAACGAGAAACAGCAGCATATATTACTTCCATTAAACTTTTGTTCAATGAAAGTTTTAATGTTTAACACATAATATTAACATATTCTCATTTCATAAGCTGATCCAACATACATCAGCCGTTACATGCCGTTACTACAGCTGCATGCCGTCAGCGAATTCCAATGTAACAATGGCACGACGGCTAAATGCTGTTGGCGGGCCACAAAATGTCTAAAATTCTGAAAGTGCAAAATATCAAATTGGTAATACACAGTAATTGACATTAATATTCATGTTTTTGTAGCTGTCGAATATCAAGTTTATTTTCCTGTTTTGGCATCATTGCGTGATTCTGTTAACACAATATCGTTTTTTTTCTCTATCCATGCGGTATACATATGGTTATAGTGTTATTATTTTCAATGAATAAATATTTTAGTATCCATGAAAAATAAGCGTGAATTTAATCCCCAACACGAATTCATTTTCGAGTTACAATATGCTCTCTTTTGGAAGATCATTTCGAAAAATTCGTATAACATTTTATTTTATTTTACCATAATCTCTATGCCCGTGAAATTTCGGGGATCTGATAAACTTTGGTATGATACTTTCGAACTGAAATGTTTGTTTGAAGATTCTGAAGTCAAACAATAATTCAAAGTTTCTTTCTGTGACGTAACTTTCGTAAAGCGATCTTATGTAAGCTTTTTTATAATAAGGATACACAAAGCGGATTATACTGTAGATAATACTGATTGCTTGGGTCGATGGGGAGGAAAGGAAGATTGCTGCGAGCGGAAACTCGCAATTGAACACCACTATTCCGCAGGTCACCGCGGTAATTTTATTTCCTTGCGTTTTATCAAGGCTTCGGTGCACTTCGACACATATATACGTATTTAAATTTTATTCGCAATTATAACATACGATTTAATGGTAAACATCACGTATGTGCGTAATTACGCGTAAAGTTAACACACACTAATGTCCAAAATCAATTGTACCAACGAGACGGCGGTAGCATGATTGCGCGTTTACCGATATTTATGCTACATACTGCATATCTCACATGCATAATTCTCCCTACGAACGGCAGGGTTAACTAGGTCATAGGAAGGAATGCGTGCGACGAGACAGACGGAAAATATGGGGCCAGTAGGAAATACTGCATGTCAAATTTTTCACTCGAGGCTACGGAATATCGAGGCGGAATTGGCTAGCGCACGGATGCAATAGTGTCGCGACGGGATAGAAAGCGAATGATGAGACGGAACAAGTACGAAGGGAAATCTCCGCGCGTACGCGACACGGAAGCTTATGGGATCGAGAGCGACAGAATAGATAGCTTTGGAAAAGAAGAAAAGTCAAATTCTGGAAGATAGACTAAGAAATAAAGTGACAGACGGCCGGAAAAAGAAAACTTGGACCCGCATGGATTGCAAAAATCGGATTGCGAAAAGAAAATTCTCAAATGAGGAGAAAAGATGAAAGAGAAAAGATATATAGCTAGCAAAAAGATGGAAAATAAATCCATTCGTGTGTGAAAGAGGTGGCCAAAAGAAACTGCGAGGAGCATAAAGTTGAGAGCAGGTAAAAATAAATAATCAGGTTTATAAAATAATATTAATTGTAGATAAATTTTAATAATATAAACATTATAAACGAATAATTTGCTTATGTTACAAAATAAATAATGATAAACACAAATTGCGTGGTAAACGATACATCAGGAAGTGAATAAAAGAATTGGCAAGAAACTGTAACAATTAAATTATATGCTACACGTTTATCTTCTCGTTTATCTCAGAACTGTGCTGTAAATTGCAAAGAAATGTCGACGAAGTGAACTGAGAAAGGGTAATAACGAGAAATGAAGATACAGTGCGTAATATTGGCTAGAAACATTACGAAACGGGAGATACCACGAGGACGACGAGAGAGTTAATGCGATGAACTGTCGGTGGAGTTCGAAAGTAAGAATATAAGACCTAAGTAGAGAAGCCCGCGAGGTACAGAGACAGAAACACGGTCGTGGAAATAGGTGTTGTATAATGCGACCAGGGTCGGCAAAGCACACTAGAAAAAACTTTACAGCGGCAAAGGGAAAGAGATGGATGGTGGGGGGAGGGGGATAGGAGATAGGTTTTGAAGTTGAGAAATGAAACGGAGTTTCCGCGGTGTTCGTACATTTAAAAATTCAACAAGGAGAAACGCTCCGAACAGGTAATATTAAAATTAAAAGTTTTCCCTCCTCCTCCTCTTTCTCTTTCTCTTCAGCAAACTTAGAATCTTAGATTTAAAAACTTGCTTAAAACGGGTCGCATGATAGAGTGAAGACGGAGTAGATCGAGTGTGAGCGTAAGTTGAATGGGAGAAGACAAAGAATTATGGTAGCGAAGAGAACAGTGGATTTAAGTTACCGTCTTTTACGCGACGTGCTCTACTTGGGAATGACGATTGAAAATTAATTTGCTGGAACTCCTTTTCTTTCTTTGCTTTCATTTTCGTCAAATGAAACTATTTTCATACTTGGTAACGTACCTCATGATCGTGAGTCCAGTAAATAACCAAGGGTGGCTCAGGACTATGTCGCACGACGCAGGTCAAGTTCATAGTGCTATCCTTGTTTATGTACATTTCTGGTTCTCCGATGATTATCGTCACTGGCTCTATGAACAAGAACCAGAGAATATATAACATGTAACATAGAAGAATATTAATCATTCCAGGCCTTGTGTACATTGTAATATATTATATATATCAAATTTAAAGATATTGTCACAATTGAAATTATTTAATCCGACATCATCTGATGAACATAATAATGTATATGTTGAAAAAAATTAATTGTTTATGAATTATCTGTTAAAGTGCCTTTGAATTGAATTTTGAAAAATTTTTTATCACATAGTTAAAATTAGGTCTGAAGAAGATAAAAATTGCGTTATAGCTGTGTTAAGAATACATTAGATCGAAATCTTATATAGAAATTTAATTTAATTAATGAAGCCACAAATTATTAACTATTTTAACTATGTTAATTACAATTATTTTTATTTTAATTTAATTAATATTAATTCTAGCTTTTATTAATAAGAAAATTCAACTGGATATCTTGTATGAAAATTCAATATTAATGTAATTAATATTAATGTTTAATATTAATAATTCATAAGTTTGTATTAATATTAACATTTATAAAACACATCGTTACGTCAACGGATGGAATTAGACACGGATGGAATTTATAAACGCCGCTTGTATTTAAATCTGTGCAATGGAATTTCAGTCAGCTTTTTAATCCTAAATTTAGTTTGAATTTAGATTATATAGGGATTTATATTATTATATAGAATATTATCCTCAAATATATATATATATATATATTTGTAATAAATATATATATATTTAATATATATATTTTTGTAAAGGATTTCATCTAATCTAAGAAATTCATTATTTTGACAAAAATTAGCGTCGAGTAAAAAAATTTCATAATATAATTGTTATACTATAACATGAATATATTACATAAGTTATGACCGTTAACATTTGCTTATTATATTTTGTTTTATTACGGCAATTTCACAGTTATAGTATATCCATATGTGTTTACTGGAAATATATTGGATTTATTTATACACGTTACAATATATGTTTGTACTTTTATATAATAAGTAGTAAAATCACATATTAATTTGCTTTTTAATTAACATTTATTTAACGTTTACACATTACGTTAAGTGGAAATTAATTAAATGATATCATAAAATAATTTCTTTATAACGTATAATGACATCATTAATCTATGACATTCGTTCTTTTCTCTATTTTTCGATCGTACATACATCACCTAAGCATGTCTTTTTGGTCACATAATGATGTACAATGTTAAAATAATGAGGAGCAAATGATTTACTAGTTGGGATATTAACTTTATTTTGATTATAATAACAGTTTATAAAAGAAATTTTACATTTTATCCTCGCGCAAGAATAATTATTATGCGATAGACATCTCAAATTTTATATTTTCATAAAATTTTATAATTAGTGAAAATTATATTTTATTTGATAAATGCGAACTTCATAAAAATTACAAAGGAAAAAGCTAATTCAAGATAAAAAGACATCGCAGGAAATATTGCATATTCACAAAGAATTTAATACCCCCAATTAAATTTGTTATTGCATAACCTATTGACCTTTGTTTTCTTTGTGATATTTTTTTATATAAATTAAAATTGGTATAACAAGGGGTAATAAAAGCTTGCAATGAATTTAAACCATATAATGAAATAAGAGACATAAAAATTATACATACTGAGCATATTTATCAAATAATCTTCATCTGATTAAATTTGTTCTCATTATTTTTTGAGGAATTTCCTAATTTTACATTCATGTGCTATAATATTTGATTCATGGAAGTTAATTAAAAAATTGTAATATTTTTAACAAATGAGGACTTTTAAAAATTAAGATAAATTGGAAAGCCATGTAGTTAATGACAAATTGTAATTGCATTAAGCAAATTGCGTTTGGTAATTGTTTACCTATCGTTTGTCATTACTGCATTTAGGAGCATTGACATTACTGATAGAATAAACAAGCACACAGTATCAGATGTTTCGAACGATAATAAATGGATCATTATTAATACATCACAACTACAAAGTTGATATCTCAATTTATTATTTTTAATTATTAATATTTTTTTATCGTGTTTTATTTGTTTCATCGCATGATAAATGCTGTATATAGCGCGAGAGAGTATCGTGGTTACATAATAATCCACTTTTATCTGAGATAGTTTCGGCATAGTATTGAAAACCACCGGATTAATTTCTACATAAATTTCAAATGAGAGGAGACTGATATTAATGCTAGATTATTAATATCAAGTTAATTTTAAGTTTAAAATTATGAAGCTGATTAAAGTCACTATCCGCGAAATGAACAAGCATGCATAATGATAGAAATTTATAATTCGCGAAGTTCACGAAGATTGCAGTCCGTCTGTGGGATCTCCGCGCAAACTTAAGCGAGAGCTTCATAAAAATCTTAAGATTGGAAGTCGATATCCCAATTTCATAAATATTACATTTCTCGACCGCGTATCTATCTGCGGTAATTTGATTCTTCCGGTCAAATTCACCGATAACGTCGGCATGAGCAGATCGCGGGGAGACAAAGCGGTGGTAAAACACTTTAGGTCGCGTGTCTCATTGAGCAACTCCACGTGAATTAAGTCATGCAGTAAATCAGCGGGTCCGTGGTGCGGCAAATGCCGCGGGTATATCGCGATGCACGTGCGGTGCACATTAAGCTTCCGGCGGCAAATAGATATAGCGTGAATTTCCGCGTCGTAGCAAAATCAGGGTGCGGTGTGCAGAAGAAAGAAGAAAAGCGTAAGACACACAGTAGTCGGAAAGAAGAAAAGAGAACTAACCGACGACGGAGAGAAGCATGGAATGACCTATGGGTGGTGTCGTGGACACTTGACACTCGTATGTGCCAGAATCTCGTCGTTGAGGGTATTTCACTTGTAGCGTCCAGTCCTCCGTATGAGGAAAATGCGACGCAACGAATCTCTGGTCCGACGTGTATGTCTCGACGCCCACGGTGAGAAGATGGATATCCCTGTGTCTCACCCATGACACCTACAAGAAAAAAGAAACACACGTTGTCCATCCACTTCACGTCCGCAGAGATCCCCGCAATTCGCGCGGATCCGCGCAGCTGCGAGTCCGCACGCTAGAATAAACGTCCGCACACACACAGGATTCGATCGAGGGATTGCAGCCGGTATAATTTAAGCCGATTTCAATACGAGTAAAAATGATTCTTACACTTCATCCTGATAATAGAACGTTTCCATATCGGTGCAGCATTTGGCGCGCGCGAGACTTTCCGCCAAAATTTCGTATTAATTTCAATTTTCCTCTCGATATGTAATTCGGTCCTTCCTCTTTCATTTTATCTTTTTATCGATAACATTCGACAGATCGTGTCCTTACGTTTCCTCGCCGTGTAGAAATGGATCGACGTGATTGATTTACATAAACGCAGCGTGCTTTTGAGCGATATTATATTAGCGGAAACGTGAAATGCCGAACACGTAGAATAAAAATGCGTATTCTCCCATAAAAACGGCTTCATTGAGTTTTGTACGCGTGCTTGGCGTACCGAAGCTGATATGAAAAGGGGAAGAGGTACAGGCAGAAGAACGGTGGCGTGGCTTTTGTTCATGTGACGCGCAGTTACGATCTAGTGCTAATGAAAAGCGCATATTCGATTTTAGTTTTAATAGAGAGAATGGAACGGGCGTACGATTGCGTTTTTGCTTCTAGCTAAAAATGCTTCTATACCGGAAAATGCAAGTTGAAATCATTTTTTGGCGGTCGTATTTCAACGCTTGTTAGAAGAACGCGATTAAATGTTAATATAAAATCCGGTCGGAAATACGACTAAGTATACAGGAGAAAAGCTTCAAAATTTTTTCACAACACTAATAATAACATAAAGTATAAGAGTTTATTTTGCGATATAAAAGCAGATATTCCATTCTCTCATCTCTTACATCTAAAAGATCGTTCTTGTATACAGCTCAAGTATAATAATCTTTATAATAGAATATATCTTGTAAACTGTGTTTGCATATCTTAAGATATACGGAAAGAATGGTTTTGCTGAAGTATCTAAAAATTTAGTTAGACACGAATAATTTTGTTGGACTATCAAAACAATTATGTAGGACGCTCAAGCTGCGGTTGCTGAAATGTCAAAACTTTTTGTAGCCTTGCTCGTCAAGCTTAAACGTCCTATGTATAATTATTTTAATGGTCCAACAAAATAATTTTCAAATGAGTATACTAGTAGTTTTTAAATTTTTAGATACTTCAGCAAAACCATATTTTGTTCGCTGTATTTCGTGCGACGTTCGTGTATTTCAGATTTTAATACGGTCTTGAAATAAAAATCATAAACATCATATTTTGAAATATGCTTTCACGAAGCTATAAACAAAATGACATTAAAACTGTTTTTGAAATACATACTTTATAAATTACGTTTTTTTTCCTTGTAAGAGCAAGCGGAAACGTTTTTGAAGTATATTTACATTATTTTCGAATATAGATATAGAACAAAGTAATCATATCGCATAGTTTAGCTTACACTGACTGTAATTAAAATAGTTTAGCGCCCTTTGTCGTTCCGCCTCAATAACATGGATTTGCTCGCGTGCTTGTCGACCTATATTTACCTACCGTAGTGTAGCAACATTAGAAATCTCATGATTGTGCGAAATGCACGCGGGAGGAACGATTTTGTGTGTATATATTGTCGACCTATATTTACCTACCGTAGTGTAGCAACATTAGAAATCTCATGATTGTGCGAAATGCGCGCGGGAGGAACGATTTTGTGTGTATATACCCGCGATTCCGCGAGCGGAATATGCTTACCAGCTAAAGTGGAAACATCGATTTATCAATTTACGTCAAACTTGTACGTTTTCGAATACTTTAGCTAGCCATCGGAAAATCCGAACTTTCCTCTTTCTTTCCTTTCCACCGTCGTGATTACCGTGTACAATTGACTACCATATGCGAAAAATCGCGCGCAAGTAAAGAATCTTAAGCTTTCAGACTTCCATTTGGAAAATGTCAATACGTGCATTCACTTCCAATATGACAGTGTTCGTAAGTGTACAATTTTTCGATAGTGACGTACGTGCATCGAACGTACCTACACCTTTTTGATGTATTAACTGATGTATGCTGACATATAATAATAATATATGCAATAATCATAATATAAAAGCATAATAATATGTACTTTGAATAAAATGTCTCGTTTAAATCTTAACGAGCAAAATGACTCAATGCGAACCCCCTGTGACAGAAAAAACTAGCATTTTCCACAATTAATTTCATAAAAATTCTTGCATTATGTTATGTTAATAATAATCCTTTATTACTATCCTTATATTAATATAAATTTTTCCCTGAAATGAATATAATTTTATATAGGAACGTGAAAAATGTACATATCCCACGCGCATTTTATAAAAAAAAAAAAAATAATAATTCGACTGTGTTCGCATAAAGCTGCAAATTCTACCGTTAAAACATAAAAAAAATATTTCCTCTCCTCACATTTAGTTTTATGTATCAGAATTTTCGAGATACGATCTACGTATTAATTCGTCATTTGAAATAACAGGTTCTCCATTAAAATTAACGCCCTTCGTATGAGGTCGGAACGTGGAAAATTTACATTGCTCTGTGAAAACGTAATTCAACTACCTACGCATGGACGCAGCAAAGAGACAGATTGCCGGTGAAATATAAAAAAAACGGCGTTAACAAAAATAGAAGTGCAAGCAAAAACTCAGACACGAAAGATATGCAAAGGGAGAATGTGCACGTTTTTGTTGGAATCTCTCTCGGGTGTGAAGAAAAAAGGAGGAAGTATTGTAGTCTTGCCTATATTCTCGCGGTATTCTTCCACCACTATAAGTGTCTCGTGATGGGCCAACTTTGTTTTATACATGTGATGCGACGAAAAACAACGTGCGACGCAGGAATATGAAATTGCGCGCAGTCAAGTTTGCAACTAATCGCATTTCGTAGTTCGTATAAGTTTCGGAGCGTCGATAGCCACACGACTCTTTTCTCGACTCTCTCTCTCTCTCTCTTTCTCTCTCTTTGTAATTTATTCATAAACTTCTTCTATATAAATGGCACGACGTCGCAAATAACTGTACGTATATATTTATATCCGCCACAACAACTTTAATCGCTCTGGCGGGCGCGTGTTTTATTTCACTCTAAAGAATACCACACGTAAGAATTCATGATAGACATCAGTCAATGTACATGTGCGAGAAATATTACATACTATAGCGTACCTAATAGACAGGCTTTTAATACTGGGTCTAAAGCTGCGGTGTTTCGAGTCGATCCATTTCTGGTAAAAGTTTCCGGCGTAAGAGTATCGCCGACGAGAAATATTTTTAGCACTGACAGTCGATTTCGCGATATACCAGAGATAAAAGTGGCACTCGCGAGCTACTACTATGTGCATATTACGAGACTAAAATTGTACGTCTCTTCGATATTGAATGGACTTATTTCAGCGTGCTAAAGGTATTTTCTAAAGCCTCATCATTCAAATTTTCTCTCTTAAAGAGCTTAAAATAAACTTGAAGAACGGCTCTCTTTACCATTACTTACTTATATTCCACGCTAATATTATTAAAATCGTATTATATTAAACTTTATTGGTTATTATAATAAGCGAGAGATAACGTTATTAGAATATAAAACTACATTGGCTTTAGAAAGCCTTCAGTCATTATTAGGATATTACAGAACGCTATGCGCTATTACGCTATACGTCTCTTCCATCCTTATTCCTAACCTCTTTACGGAGTTTAATCTAGAGGAGGTAGCATTGATTCAAACGGTCGAGCCATACACTCAAATTCAAATAAATTTCATTCAAGTATTTAATCATACCACGTACACTGCACGAGAAGTGTTTGATATTGTGTGCTATAATTGCATGGTAAAATAATTATGGTTAAGACTCCCGTTTTACGTGTACAATTATTACCGTTATAACGTTGGTAATAGCAATTTATGTATTTATAGTTTTACCAAAGAAAAAAACACATACACGAAGCATGTTAAAAATGACTATATAAATTTTACAATTAATTAATTTATGGTTCAAAATCCGCTTTGACCGAAAATAGAATTCTCTCTCCTATTTATATTCCTATCGGTCTGAATTTATTTCTCTTATAAATTATGATCAATGTAACGACTTTTTTCTCTCTGTGTACTTGGCACTGAAATAATACTCGAAATATATTGTATATCGTTACGTAATATCTTTTAGAGAAATCAATGATTTTGCAGTAACGAAAAAGGGAGGACGTGTCTCTCTACTTACCGTTTTGTCACCTAAATTTCGCACTCGACAATTCAGCGTCGCTGTTTTCCCGACAAGGGCTGTCACGTTGCGAGAGACCGAAACATCAAAGTATGGTCCTCGATCGAGCGGCTCTGATGCACGATTCTCGTGTGTCCTGTGATCGGCCGTACATCGGGTAGGTCCTTGCACTTTAACCAAACACAACGTTGTATCTATCTTATTTTGTTAGTGAAACTAGCATGAGATCCTTTAACGCGGCAAGGATCGCGCGGAATGTTGTAATTTACATCACTTGCAAAGATCGAGAAGATACATTATCGCCGTTCCGTTCGAGCGCATTGGAATTACCGATAAAAAGTTTCGTTTTCCAGTCAATTAGGCGAATTAACTTTCGGATCGGGATATTATACTGTGTCTCTGTAACGCTCCCCGCGACAAAAAAGAGAAGACAATTCCCCAGATAAACGGTTCAAAAGACGCCCTCTTATTTTTCAAAAGTTCTTTAAAAACTTTTTCAGACATTCGTAGATTCCCCTGTATCGCTTGGAGTTGTTATATACGCAGCGCGTAATAAATAACAATGATTTATTAAAGTACATCCCGCGAAGTAGTAGTTTAGGTCGTAGAAAAAAGTTGTATTATATTCCTGGGCTAACAGTGTTCTTTAATTCTTATTACCCGTTCTCTGTTGTAAAATATAAAATTAAACACACGTTGTGCGCGTAATACGAACATACAAATTATTCGTATTTTACATAACAGTTTTGCATATTAATTTTAGAGATCGTATATGATAAACATGCAAAAACCGATGATAAACATAATTTACTATATTTTCCCTCGGCTTTCTTTGTCTCGGCAAGTGTTTTACAATGAAATCGAATCATAACACTCTAATATAACATTCTAAAATAAGATAAATCTTTTTTTTTTTATCAAATATCTTTTTCATAACTTTTTAGCGCTATTGCGCCGGAAGAATTTTTGTAATGGAAGATCTTTCTTTGTAACTAAAAAGAAGCTAAACCTGCAAGATCGTGGCAGTTAAAAACAATGAGGACATCTTTCTTAAAGGCTGGAAGGAGAAGAATTTATTTGAGATAGAAAATGTTCGATTGAAAGTATCTACGTTCTACGGCTAACATGATTGGAAAAATGGTACATTAGAACATTGTATGTTCATTATTTCTATTTATTTTATTCTACGGAATCTCAATATTAACAGGAATTAACAGGAAATTGGCAGATTATTTCTGTCAATATTATTTGTTGTTAAACTTGAAGTCGATCCCTTCTTACTGAAAATGTCGGAGGTTGCTATCTTTCTCACAATTTCTCAAACTTCAATATTGAATACTTTAGCAATAAAATCGGAAAAAAGGTAAAATCTTTTTTAAAATAAGTTCAAGTTATACGACGAATAATGTTTCACTAGCTGTTTGCGTCTCTGAGATTTAAATCGCGCAAAACCTTTCATTTGCATAATTCAGGAACTTCTGGTTTCTTTATCGTGATGTTTTATAATCAATTTGGTTTTATCTCGTTTTCCCCTTCGAGAAAATTATTTTGCATGCAAATTTCCATAAAAACGTTTATTCTTTCTTTCATAAGAACACACTGTCTACCACTTTTCGTATTTTTCGCTTCTCCTTTCCTTTTCAACCCTCTTTTTGCATCTCTCTCCCTCTCCCTTTCTTCTGTGACATCAGAAGATTTTATAAAGTTTACGAAAATATTCCATGTACGTCCTGAATATTTACATATTAATAATGCATATTTGTTTTTCACTGAACTGAAATTGGCATTTGCACAAAACATTGAATTACTACGAGTATGTTCAACATTTATCTGTAAATGTAATTGTATTCCAATTCAATATTACTCTGTGATGTCCCCATATTAGATTCATAAACAGCTGTAAAATAGCTGTATCGTAAATCGACACAGTGTGAACTCTCCATTACCCGTTTATCAAGTTTCCTAACGCCGTGAATCGTTCACAGCGAAGTTCGTAACTTCGGTCGGATGTTTTCCGTAAATATATGTAGCCGTTTATACACGAACGTCAACTTGAGGATAAGTATATCCTCCAACTTCCATTAATAGCGAAAATGTGTAACAATGCAAGAGAACTTTTTATACGAAACAAACGATATTATATGCATCTAAGAAATGGGATATATATATAGGGTGTAGCATGTGCGCACTTTCTTGCGCAATGGAAAAATTTCGCTCGCGCGATATCGGCAATGGAGTCTTCGAAACTGATAAAACCGTCGTCAGAAAATAGTATGTTGAAAATAAATGTGGCTCCAAAAGGGTAACTTTAAAGGGATGCAGGTAGTTGCGCGAGTAAATATTTACCTCCCCGCGCTTCCGTGGGATTTGCGCGCGGCCCCGCATACTCCTTGGTTAAAATACATATCAGAATTTCCACCCTCTCAGCTATTTTCTTCTGTGCTCTACAGTTACTTTCACAACAATGTACAGTGGATTTAATTTCTTTCCTTGTTTCTTATCACGTCGCTGTATACATCCAGTTCATTTTGTAGCAGCAGCGACTAATTGCGCGCGTTTGCTCAGTTCCACGCAGTCTTAGAACACAAATCCTAATTTAATCTTAAACCCGGACTAAAAACCATCAATGTTGGATACACACCGTAAGACATTAAGAACGTTCGTATCGTTTTAAGAAATATATCTCAACTCAGTCTTATTATAAATGGCTTTAAGTTTCAAACTTTTACTCAATTGTGACTATTCGATGTGATTTTCGCGCGTGAAAAATATCGGTTTACCATTCCGTTTTAAATTTCGTATTTTTATTTATATGAAAAGTTGTGCCATTATATACCATATATGCGCATCGCAATTTATTTTATTTTTTTTCGATTTTATCCTTTTTCTGCTTGCACGAGATACAATAAATATTTATCTATTTATTAATAGGAAAAAGGTGAATAAAAACATATCATGTTGATTTTTTAATTTCTAAAAATTATTAATTCTTGTACTGGCCATAGAGTAAAAACAGTAAAACAAGAATTCCGTATAAATATTTTGTGCGAATGAGAGTCAATTAAATGGCGCTTGGAGGTCGATAAAATTTTTGTCTGAAGAGTAAAAATTCAATACAACGGTCTCCATGGTACCGCTTACTGTTGAATGAACAGTAAGGCCAAGTTAAGCTAAAGGCCGAAATCATTAAATCCATTGAAGCGATAGAAATAAAATTTTACGGTCCTCGTTTTAGTACAATCCTGCGGAAAATATAAATTGGATTGGAGAATACACGTGTAGCGTATCTTTCTCGGTAACACTGAAATATGATAAACAGATTTAGAACAGACATTTCATATCTGGAGTCCACAAAGACACCGAGAGTTGATGCTTGCCAAAAGAAGAACGTTAAAAAGCGTACTTCATACATCGCACGATATAGAAAATTAATGGTTGTACTCGTATTTTTAAGTGTTTTTTTTTTTGTATTGACCATGGCATGCCGTTACGTCACGATATTATAGCTTGTCTCATTACATTATACAGTACATGGGACTTTCGGGTTAATTGCTGCATAAACCCGTATTTTGGACAAGGCTAATGTTAATACTAAGTTATTACGAAGTTAAGACTAAGTTTGGGAGCTAACTAAACCCACTGTAATATACCGTTGGCATCCACCACCGGGTTGGGTACATAATATTACATCGCCCGGCTTCTCACATGAAAGGGATAAGATATTCAGCGTGTATCGCGGAAACAGTAAAAAGACAAGGTTTACACACTGCTTGAACCGTACGTGCTTCGCGTAATGTCATTAAGCTGCTCTGGAAAGAAAGGGATTGGAAAAAGGATGGTTAACGCGTACTTTACTCTTGGTAAAATCTAATTTTGCCGCATCCCGTATTAATCGAACCGAAAACATGTCGAAGCAAATACAGTGGACCGACAACGGTCAAGAACCGTTTGTCGGGTGAATGACCATTGAAGTATATTTTTTCATTTGCACGAAGTGTAATGCATATTTTTAGGAAAAACACTATTTTAATCATCGCGCGGTAGTTATAAATTAAAATCGTTATTTAAGGGAATTTATTGATCGTCCGTTATAATTTTATCACAATACACAGTTTTCAAGTGAAGCTAAAACCATTATAAATTTCCAACATTTACATAAGTTTCACGAATTTCGAATCTTTATAAGTTTCCGGCGTATCCCTTCTTGAGATTACTCCCGAAACTATGTGTAAAAAGAAGAGAAAGAAAGAGCGCGCGAAAAAAAAAAAAAACTGAAACTTATTAAAAGCCAAGAAAAATTCCTCACACGTTTTTCAGACCGATGCAAACTGCACGAACGGAATTAATATATAGAGGCTAACGAGCGGAAACGATTTCATTTGCGTGACAAAATTGACAAAATTGTATTACGCAACATGTACATATATTTATATCAATATATCGCAATTTTACTAATTTATATCGTTCGCTCGAGACTGTTGAATGTTTACGGCCGTATTTGCCTAAATGCGGATTTCGCTTCCAATTGTATACGACGACGCGGGTGCAGAGATTTGGCGTGTGCCGTCGATGTTGGCGACGTGCAGGTGATTGACGACACACGACCGGTCAGGCGATTTCCGAACGCGATTTATTCGACTCACCCGAAACCAGCAGACCGAGGGTCAAGATTAGACACCTCATTTTTTATCTCTCATAGTCGTTTTGGAGTGCCGGTCGATTTCCTCCTCGTGCGCCGTGATCTCCGACCGATAGATCCCTCTCGTAAACGGGTCGTGATCGAGCGATTGCCGCAGGCTTGTGTAAAACGGCCCGCGAGTGTACTTCGCACGCCGAAATTGGCAGCAACGTGCGCCGGAAAGCTGAATCAGGGCGAGTTTATCGGATAAATCGACGATTTCCGGTTTTTCTTGCCTCCACGCTCCATGGCATCGTTACGTCGCTGCTTGATCGGACCTGCGAATCTATCCCAACACGATTTTTCATCGCGACGGCACGATCGTTATTTCCATCTCGTGCTCAGCCCGCATATATAAGTCCGCTCTAGCAAGCCCGCTTAATTCGCTAACAGCCTCGCAGTGATCTAGATTCGCGTAATTGAAAAGCACCGGTGGGGCGTGATACGTGCATCCCTCCAAATCTTTGTCTCTACTCCCCGACTACTCTGTCTTATCGCACTCTCGGCGAAGTCACTCGCTGATTGTCGCTTGCTGTGCCATTCAAAGTACGGAAATCAGCGGTGTTCTTCTTTCGTTCACCCGTACAGCAGATATAAACGCGACGTCTCGTTTCACCGCGTCTCTGTTTCACTCTATTCGACGATATAGTCTGCGATTAATTTGCCGGTGTATAAGAGCAAAGATCGACATCGACGACGGGAGGCGGAAAGCCGACGCTTCCTTCCCGTTCAGGAGGTACGAACGCGCGTTGCCGCAAAGTACCACGCGATCTTGTTTCCTGCCGTTTCCTGTCGGCGACAGGCGTGTCTCCGGCACGTCGCGTCGTGGCGCCGATCGAGCGGCCGGTCGCGCGACGACGATCGACACGCGTGGTGGCCCTCCCTCTCGCAAAAAGGGACGATCTCGGGATCGGCGGGCGCGGGCGGGCCGATCCGGCTGCGTGACGAAGGGTCGACTCGTTGCACGGATAGCCGAGCGAAACTGAAGAGAACTGACAGTGCGTGTGCAACGCGGCTTTGCGCGGCCCTGCGCGGCCCGGGAGAGACGCCCTGCCATCTATCCTCGCCACACGCCCCGCTCTCTCGTCCCCTCGCTAGGGGTGCACTGTGCGAGGAGATGAGGGTGATATCCCTGGCGCAAGCGTGTATCTCTCTCTCTTCGTTTCATCGTTGTCGTCGTCGTCGTCGTCGTCGTCGCTCACCCTCTTGCTCTCTTCTTCCCTTCTCTCGCTCTCCCCTTCGTTGCCACAGCATCCCTAGCCGGGAATCTGAAAATCGAATACTGCCCTCGCGAGATACCACGGCGCCGATTAAACTTGGCAGTGGATCCTATAAGATCCATCCGTGTTTTTTCCCTTCCTTCCCACTCTCTACCCTCCGTACTCCGGTTGCCATTTCTTGTCGAGTTTATACGATTGTTCGCCCAGTCGATTGAAATATCTCAAAACGTATGGAAATTGTATGCGTGCGTACACATGTCGCGCTGTTGTTCCTCAGTATTACACTCCGTTTTATAAATAGTAGGGGAGCGACAGAACGCCGTCGTAGAATGTAACAATTTAAATAACGTGCGCCCTAATATTTTTGTTTTTCCATGCCCTCTCTTTGCTTTTATTATGTCTATTGAAAATTTCGTGTGTTCGCGCGCGAAAAAAAACTTGATGTGATATTGCGAAAAAAATTAAAAATTTTTTAATTAATTAAGGATTACGAGAGCGCATGGGAATTATTAAAAATAGCAGTAAAAGCATTGAATATGTTGTTCATCATATCGAAATATTACATTAAACATACAAATGTAAAAAATCTTTCTCTTTTGAATTTTTTATTACATTTATTTCAACATGCTTCTATATATTTCTCATTTCAAATTAATCTCAAGCTCGTTTTATTAGCTATTAATTACCTGGTTTATTAACTTTCATATAATTGTTTGTTTTTAATCTTCTGCTAACACAAACTTACAGTAATTAATATACATCTCTTATAAATCAGTTAGCTTGATATTAAGAACGATAATAATTACGCATGTTGTACAACTGTTACATTAATGTCGTTTCTGTCAATTTTATTAGGTATAAGAATCTACTATAAAATATCAGTCAGTTTCGTACGAAAAGAGAATATATTTCATGTCGTTTCGTCTTCTTCTTCCGAATCCCTTAAACAGCGAGCGCGTTAAAGACGAAGGATTGGAAGCAGCACGAAAGCTTTCGTGACAACAAATGCCGCATTTTGTTATCGATGCGCCACTTGGCTGCTTTTCGCGCCTGTCCATTTTGTGCTTTCACTTTTTCCGGACACTTCGTGTTTAGGCCATTTTTGCAATATTGTTTGCCAGCAAAGATCCTATTCCCTTTGCGCCGCGCTGCTGGCGTGTTGCATCGCTTGCTGCAATATTCCATCCTTTGATCACTAATCGGCTTATTAGCTCGATCCTTTTTCTCGCTGGCGATCGATAGCTACTTTGCGTTACTACGCTACTTTACGATTTTCGCTATTCTGCTTCACAGCGCGCAAGTACCATGGCGAAATATAATCAGTCGACAAAAGCTTAACAGACAAATATTCAATAAACAAATGCCCGTTCGAATTAACAAATAGGTTAATAAATTCCGAGAGAAATTCGATTGTGCTTTACAAGTTTGTCAGAAAGGTTCGTGCTCATTAAGCGTATCTATTGCTTTGAAAGTCTGTTGAATGTTATCTCTATACATATACATATATTCCTACGCTCCGTTCACGGAGGGTACACGTTCTTTTTTTTTCCACAATCTAAAACGGCGATGTTTAACAATTGTTACAGCGAAGCACACGATGAATGTAAAGCGAGAAACAAAAGAACAGAGTAACTGTAATTTCTCAACTCTTGTTTTATAAGTGAACGCAAACGTCAAATTCTTCTAAATCAGAAACAGAAGTCGCGATAAATTTGAACAGGCAAATATGTATTTGCTATTTTTCAATTTCTTATATTCAAAATTTATTTTATATTTATTTGTTGACGCATATAAAATATAAAAGCATCATTCAAAATCCATAAACTCCAGAAAACATACTGTTACAAATTTCAATGTTTTATTATCAGAAATCAATTTGTATGTGACGAAAATTGTTTTGTATACGTATCTAATACCATATTTAAATAAGATATATTTAAGATTATGTATATTTTTATATAATTTAAATATTCACATCTCAGAAACTATTGCTTAAAATAAAAATTTTTTAATAACTCTTTTATACTTGATTTTTCGAAAATTTTCTTGCTATGGTATTTAAATCGCGAATTTTGTTATATGCTGTTTATATTTATCAATTTTTAATATTATATTTAAATTAGTAATATTTACATATAAAATAAATATACAGAGAATGATAAATTCATTTTATTAAGTTTTGATTTCAATTTAATAAATTATATTAAAATAATTAGTATATGTTTCCGAATAAATTAATAAGATAAAAATAAATAAAAAAGAAAAAAAAATATATATGTTAAATTAAATTAAAAAGTACGTATACACACACACACACACACATATTTCCTGAATTCTTTGGAATAGAATCTCACTCTAAAGAGTGAAAATTGAGTCGGTCTCGAAAAAGAGTAGTGGCTCAACTTTCAATCTTTAAGGGTGAGATTTCACTCTTTAGAGTAACAATTCACTTAAAAAATTTTAAAGCAATAATAGTTAATGAAATAATAAAATATGGAAATAATGATATAAAATATAGAATGTATATTATAACATAATATAAGTCAGGTATATAAAATTATAAAATATATTTTTGTTCAAAGAAATAAGAATATTAAACATAATAGATCAAAATAAATCTGTATATAACAATATTTTTTTAGGATATTAATTTTAATTTTCATAAATTCGATAGAAAACGAAATTATATTTACTAATAAGTAAATATCACGTTTATTAATAAATTTACAGTTTCTTTGTTCTTAATATTCAACTCCTATTTAAGGCATAACATATTAATCTATTAATTATGTAATTGTTCAAAATAAATTTTGATCGGAATTATTCCATTTTCTTTAGAAAACATAATAGAGAAATGTAGAGAATAATTGAACAATATAGATCGGAATCCATTCCGAATAATTCTACAATGCATGCCGAGGGCAGGTATTATTACTCTCTAATAAAAAGAATAAACAAATAAAATAAACAAACGCCATGGAAACAGAATAAAATCGAGTCTATACGACGAATTTGTTCCTTTTAAAATCGATATCACATTATTCAATATACAATCTATCGATAGGCGATTCATTCGATAGTATTCGAGAGACCGAACGTGTGTTGCAAAATAGCTTTTGCTACGCTGTAGGTTATGTTGTCAGGGTTGCATACATCGTGTGCAATTGTAAGCAAAATAATTTAAATATGATATCAGAACGTAATATTAGATAGTTTGTAAGTGGCAGTTTCCCAAGAAGTTACCTTAATTTATAACTTCGTACGAGGAATAATACCGTTTATAACGTAAGTTAAGATTTATTGCATTTACGACTAACCTATACTAAACCAGCAAAAACGTTTTGTCAAATCTATTTTATTTTTTTCTCCTATAAAGATGGATGAGCAAGCATGTCCACGGTGTAAAACCACCAAATACCGAAATCCATCGTTAAAGCTGATGGTAAACGTCTGTGGTCATACATTATGCGAGAACTGTGTGGATCTACTCTTTTTAAAAGGTTTGATTATTGTATTTATTGTATTTTATTTAATGAAGGCAGAAAGTATAATTTCAATAATGTTTATAATTACTATTTAGGCTCCGGATCGTGTCCAGAATGCAAAATTCCACTGAGGAGGACGAACTTTAGAGTTCAAATGTTTGAGGATTCTATGGTTGAAAAAGAAGTGAACATAAGGAAACGTATCCTACGAGATTTTAATAAAAAAGAAGAAGACTTTTCTACATTGAGGGAATATAATGATTATTTAGAAGAAATTGAGACTATAATATACAATCTGGCCAATAACATTGATGTAGTTGAAA